TAACCTGGCGAAGAAATGAGTAGAGACGATTGCAGGATTTCCTCTCGTTTGAACGTTCTCATTAGATGAGGCCTCGATGACCCCTGGGTTGATGGGTTGTTTCAATGTTTAATTGCTTTGACCTTCAGGGAGTTTCTTTTCATGTCCAACATAACCTTAGGTTTTTTTAGTTTAATGTGACAAATTACTTCATAAAAACAGCCCTGGATATTTTCATTAATTCTGGACAAATTGTGTTACACATAAAAGATGTCTTTTTCACAGATGCTGTAACCATGCCAAATAGTATAGTAATTGTTCCTTTTTTAGCTACTTTGGTATATGTCTTTACATTAGAGTAATTGGTGTGATTTAGGAGAGTATATAAATGATGATGTAATTCTAAGAAGGGTAAGATCACCAAAAAAACCCACAATTTTGACACCCTAAGCCTTCCCAAGGGTCACATTTTCTGAAAATTATTCACTTCTTTTCTTCTGAGGAGGGAGCACTGTCCTTTCCACAATGCCACTGCAACACTGACAGAGCCACAGAAGCAACCATGGTGATGATGCAGAAAAAGTGTTGGTTCTCTCCAAATAAGTCCTGTCCATCTGGGAGCTGCATCTTTCACATCTCTGAGACCCTGTAGAGTGGTCCAGCTGCTCTAGAGCTCCAGAAGTGCCACCATTGGCTGCTTTCCACACAAGTGAGGTGTCAACTTCCCTAGGCACCCTTGGGCCAAAGCATGTCAAAGAAAATATTTCAGAGTCAAAGCACACAAGATGGTTTTCCTGATTTTCCCCTCTAAACAAAGAGCATGGAGCTGCACGTGGAAATGCCAGGTACTGCACAGCGCTCCTCCACTGCCTCCACCAGGCTGGCAGTCCTGAGGGGGGAGAAGGCCCTGTCCCCTCACAGTAAATCCAGTATGGTCAAATTTCCAGCTGCTGCAGACTGGCCTCTTGGTTGACACAAAGTGCCCTTATGCCAGCCTGTCCACATGGAAATGAGATGCTTAGCGGCATGCCTCACACATGCGGGTCCCCATCTGCAAATGTCACCTGTGAAAGACAGGGGCCACTCCAGAAGGCACAAAGCTCGGGATTGTTTAGGCAGAATGGAAAATGACACCCCAGCATTTACAATGGGATTTTTATTATCGATGTCACAGATATGATACTTGCTACTGACATGCTTGAATTAGAAGAGACAAAGTAAACTGTTAGAAAGAAGAGGCCATTGAACTAAATACAAGTGCAACCTGCATGCTTATATTGCAGCATTCGATTTCCTCTTAAGTCTTGGGAAGAGGGGGCAGACAGCAGAGGGGAGACCTCTGTTTCAGCTGAAATCTCTTGTGTCTACAGAGGAGAGTAGGGCCTCTCCAAAAAGCAGACAAAGAGCCAGGAGCAGGCAGTTGCAAGAGGTTTTGTTACAGGAGATGGAGTTTGCAATTCCCACCAACCTCCATCCCAGTGCAGATCTCTGCAAAGCTGCAAGTAAGGAAAAAGTCAAAAATACTGAAGTTGGAAACGTTCCTAAGGGCTGAGCAGCTAATGACATGTCATGGTCAAAAGCTACACTTGTCATGTCCTAAGCATACCACTGTTGACACAGGTTTGGGATCTCTGGATTTATAAACTGAGCAAGTGGTCATCTTTAGTCTCAGAGCCTGAAACTGGCTGTAAGAACCAAGAGGCCTTTTCTTCTTAGAGAGTTTTGGATGGGAGCTGGGTTGAGAAACCAGGCATTCCAGTTGGTGCTCACATGCCAATTTGCTTTGGTAAGACACAGTAACTGGTTCTGTGTAGTGAAAATGAAAGAACAGTGAAGTTTCCAAACATGTCACCCAAAGAGAAATGTCACTGGTCACTCTAAGCTTTGAAGAAACTGCTTATAATATCAATAAAGTAAGGGCTGAGTAGGTTTCATCTGTACTGGTTCTCTTTTAAGCAAATAAAAAAAATAAAAAAATTAAAAAGCATTTAAAAAATGCTTTTTAAAGCATTTCTAGTATTGAAGTATTGATTGCAGAAGACCTTGTGTTAAGTGCTTCATTCCCNCACTTCTTTTCTTCTGAGGAGGGAGCACTGTCCTTTCCACAATGCCACTGCAACACTGACAGAGCCACAGAAGCAACCATGGTGATGATGCAGAAAAAGTGTTGGTTCTCTCCAAATAAGTCCTGTCCATCTGGGAGCTGCATCTTTCACATCTCTGAGACCCTGTAGAGTGGTCCAGCTGCTCTAGAGCTCCAGAAGTGCCACCATTGGCTGCTTTCCACACAAGTGAGGTGTCAACTTCCCTAGGCACCCTTGGGCCAAAGCATGTCAAAGAAAATATTTCAGAGTCAAAGCACACAAGATGGTTTTCCTGATTTTCCCCTCTAAACAAAGAGCATGGAGCTGCACGTGGAAATGCCAGGTACTGCACAGCGCTCCTCCACTGCCTCCACCAGGCTGGCAGTCCTGAGGGGGGAGAAGGCCCTGTCCCCTCACAGTAAATCCAGTATGGTCAAATTTCCAGCTGCTGCAGACTGGCCTCTTGGTTGACACAAAGTGCCCTTATGCCAGCCTGTCCACATGGAAATGAGATGCTTAGCGGCATGCCTCACACATGCGGGTCCCCATCTGCAAATGTCACCTGTGAAAGACAGGGGCCACTCCAGAAGGCACAAAGCTCGGGATTGTTTAGGCAGAATGGAAAATGACACCCCAGCATTTACAATGGGATTTTTATTATCGATGTCACAGATATGATACTTGCTACTGACATGCTTGAATTAGAAGAGACAAAGTAAACTGTTAGAAAGAAGAGGCCATTGAACTAAATACAAGTGCAACCTGCATGCTTATATTGCAGCATTCGATTTCCTCTTAAGTCTTGGGAAGAGGGGGCAGACAGCAGAGGGGAGACCTCTGTTTCAGCTGAAATCTCTTGTGTCTACAGAGGAGAGTAGGGCCTCTCCAAAAAGCAGACAAAGAGCCAGGAGCAGGCAGTTGCAAGAGGTTTTGTTACAGGAGATGGAGTTTGCAATTCCCACCAACCTCCATCCCAGTGCAGATCTCTGCAAAGCTGCAAGTAAGGAAAAAGTCAAAAATACTGAAGTTGGAAACGTTCCTAAGGGCTGAGCAGCTAATGACATGTCATGGTCAAAAGCTACACTTGTCATGTCCTAAGCATACCACTGTTGACACAGGTTTGGGATCTCTGGATTTATAAACTGAGCAAGTGGTCATCTTTAGTCTCAGAGCCTGAAACTGGCTGTAAGAACCAAGAGGCCTTTTCTTCTTAGAGAGTTTTGGATGGGAGCTGGGTTGAGAAACCAGGCATTCCAGTTGGTGCTCACATGCCAATTTGCTTTGGTAAGACACAGTAACTGGTTCTGTGTAGTGAAAATGAAAGAACAGTGAAGTTTCCAAACATGTCACCCAAAGAGAAATGTCACTGGTCACTCTAAGCTTTGAAGAAACTGCTTATAATATCAATAAAGTAAGGGCTGAGTAGGTTTCATCTGTACTGGTTCTCTTTTAAGCAAATAAAAAAAAAAAAAAATAAAACTGGTTCTCTTTTAAGCAAATAAAAAAAATAAAAAAAATTAAAAAGCATTTAAAAAATGCTTTTTAAAGCATTTCTAGTATTGAAGTATTGATTGCAGAAGACCTTGTGTTAAGTGCTTCATTCCCCAATAGGTTTGGCCCCTGAGGGCTTTCGGGATCATAGCTCAAAGGATTGAATCTGTGACAGACAAACACAGATAGATTATGAGATGTCTTAAAAGGCCAAAAATCTGGTCCCTCCTTCTGCAAAGTTGTGTACAACTGGAAGAGTGCAGCTGAATTATCCATACTAAAATCTTAGTGTCTTCATCCCACTCAAAGAGCCTCTCTAAACACTGTACTGTCAGGAATAAGAAAGAACAGCAAAATAAGCCACTGTGTGATTCAAATATTCCTAAGTGGTCACTGAAATACCCTTCTCTTGGCCGCAAGACTGCATTCTTCAACTCTGCTGCGCTATGAAACACGAGGTCATTTTTAGCACAAGCCTTATGAATAGAGACTGGAATTTTCTACAAGGTCTTCTTTTCTTATCCCCCATTTCTCCCCCTTTTAAAAACAACTCCCAGTCTGCCAGTACAAGAGGGTTCACTGTCTGGGAATTCCCTCCCCATGATACCTATAGCCTTGGAGGGGACCTGGTGGCCCCTGCAGGGTCTGCAGAAGCATTTGCCAGTTTACCTGGAAGCAACCTGATCTCTTCCTCCTCCTCCTGCCACCCTGCCTGGTATCATCTAGCAACAGCAAGAGGCTGAGAAACATCAGGAATAACAGATCCAATTTTCCTCTAAAGCCAAAGTTTTATGTTAAGGAGGAGAAGCGAATGATACGTTGCAGGTATTTATAGCAATTAGATGCTGCCTGTAAGAACATGAGCTTGTCAGGAGGAGCAGTGACTGAAAGGAATGCATTCAGATCCTTGATGAAGTGGTGTTCACTCGATGAAATCTGTACTCTCAGCATTTTTAAACAAAAAGCAGCTCCTTTTAGGTGAGACCTTTAACACTCGGTCCAGAAGGGGAACAATAAAGGACTCTGGCACAGGCATCTCCCAATGTTTTGTATTTGAAACTTAGACCTACCCTTTTCTATTGTTTTCAGCCTTGATTTAGGAGCTTTGTTACTTCTCTAAGTAAAAGAAGAATCTGCCCCTTAACAACTACCTCTGCTATTTTGCATTTTGCAGAATTATGCAGTATGTGCCAAACACAGCACAAATGAGCAGCCCATACATGTGAGCTACTGGCCAGCTGACCAGCAGTTCCTCATCATGATGGGTAGAGACTTTTTTGTCCAAGCAGCAAGGAAGAAGGATGAGTCTTTCGGGTGCCCAGGGGCACTCTGCCACACCTGGGGTACATCCCAGTCAATATGAAACCACAAAAACCTATTCACTGGAATTAATGTCACTTCCATTAAAATGTTATGAATGAAAAAATACTTCAGATTTCAAATGCTTTGTTTTGACTCTACATTTTTTTAATAAATAGATCAATTCTTAATTATTCAAATAATGTACACTTACTGAAATTTAGATTCAGGGTCAGAAACCTTAGGTCCAGTCCTAAAATCCTTTCTGACATGGGTGGAAGCAGAAGGCTGGGGCTACTTCTCAGAATGCAAACAGCAGTTGCTATTTTGAGTTTCAGTCTTCCAGTAGCTCCCTGAAATGAAGTCCTGCTGGAGCAAGAAGGAAGCCTTAGCTAGAGAGCATGCCCCAGCTGGGATATACATTTTGCAAGTTTTGCATACCATTATGAGGACTTAAATTGAGCACTCCTGAAGAAGCACAGAACAGGGAACTCCAGTGTAGGGAAAAAAAACCCCACATTTAGATTCACCCAGATTTATATCCTTTGATCAAAGGCTGCCCCTTGTGCTTATGAGCATCTCATGTAAATGTCTGCAAAGTTACTCCTTTATCTGCTTTCACATTTCTTTCCAGAGAAACCTTTGCAATGCTATCTGCAGCAACTGCGGTTTATTGGGCTGCTGAAATCATGGCTCATAGTGCTGAATATTAGAATCTCATCTTTTTCCTTGTTAGGGATGTATCTGCCCCTTGTTTCAGAGGCTTTGACCATATTTGATCTCTTACTTTTGCAATCTCTATAAAGAGGGAGTCCTGCTGCATAACTGGTCTCCAATCTGCCATGATAATGGAAAGAATTCTTTTATTGCCACTATATTTTTACTTAGCTACATCTTTCAAAGAACACTGCCAAGGTTGGTCCAAAGTTTAAATCTCACAGAAGCAGACTTTTACAAACATATGTCTGAATAGAAATGTTGCCATTGATTTTTTTAATTGCAAATGAAAACAGTCGTATTTGATGAAATAACCATTCCCCTGAACTTTCCACCCTAAGCCTGAAAATCTAAAAGTGAAAGTGACTCAAGCACAGGCAAACCTGACTTCATTGATTTCTATTGTCCACGGTGAGAAAACACAACCAGTAAACAAAGCAGAAAGAGTGACAAGTAAATTGGATTTTAAAAAATTCTTTCACTTTTAATAATGTTAAGGTGGGATTTGTAACACAGGTATAGGCATTTGTTTGTTTTCAACATAGGAGCTGTAAGGTGACAGTGTCCCTTTAAATGCTTTCCCATTGTAATTTATTTGTTTCAGGGATGATGGCATTGAAGTTCACACTGGAAGTACTTGCAGCTCCTGAAGAAGTTAAATTTGCCACAAGTTTCACACCCTTCCTCAGAGAGAGCTTTTGCTTTCAGGTCATCCCAAAGCAAGCCTCTTCCCTTACATATTTCTCCCTCTGTGGGACCCCAACACATCCTGACAGTGTGCTTGTGCACACCTTGACTCTCCCTCCAAGGCAGGGAAAAGAAGATTCAGGCAGCTGAGGTGGGGCTGGGCAGGGTTTCACATCCAAGGATGAAAGTCCAGAGGCTCTGGTGTCACAGCCTTCACAGGACAGAGCAGCTGGTGAGGAAATAGACTTTCCCCTTCCCACAAACCAAGGAAAACTCTGATGAGTCTCCATGATAATTTGGCCTTCGTTTTTCTCAGACCCAGCTTCTTTGGAAATCTGTTGAGTTTTTCCCAAGAGGAACCCAAGACAAAGTGGACAAAGGATGTCAGCATCTGGCATGATGTAGTGAGCCACATTAATGATTTCAGCTGATCAAAACTGCCACTGTGAGATGCAAATTCCTGTACCAAACTGAAAGTCAGAATCCTGCACAAATCATTTCTTTTCATGTTATCACATTAAATGATGTTTATGTAAAAATGTGAGGCTTTTCAATGCCAGAATTGTTCATGTTATAAATGCCTGAATAAAGCAACTGTCTCTAACTGGAGGAAAGCAACTGCCTTTGCTTCCACTCATCAGCATATCTAGATAAAAATCACCTTTCCTGTTTAGTGTTTGTCTTCCATATTTTCAAGTGTAGAAATTCAAGCAAAAAAAATTGCTGTGTAGCAGCTGGCCCATTTAAGGAGGTGATACATATTATTCAAGTGATTACACGAATGGCTAAAAGTGTTGCATTATTCCCTATTTTCATTTGTGCAGCATAGCTTTGGCATGGTGATGAACTATGTCAACCAGGAACCTTGGCTGCCTTCTAATGGAGAAAGCCCCTCAAAGATCTTTGATGTGACAACGAAACTGGGAAATATTACTGACTCACAGCCTTTAAGCAATCAAGAAGTGATCAAAGCAGTGACTCAAGAATTCAAGGGAAAAATTACATGCTCAGGGAAATGAGAAAAGCTTATTACCTACTGATATTCAATAGAACAGGCAACTGAAAGTCTAATTTTGTGAAATATGCTTTTAATTGGTATTCACCGACTTATTGTATATTACTTATGTAAAAAGCAGCTTTTAATTCTAAAAAAAATTAATGGCTCAAAATTCCAGTCATGATAGTGTGGGGTGGAAACACTTAGTCTCATTTCAACTCTGTCCCACTCCAATATAAAATGCAGGGCAGGGGTCTTCAGGGTTCACCTCTGCAACCTCAGCCCAGGAGCCATCAGCTTTGCACAGATTTCTCCTCTCAGAGAGTGAAGGGTTGGTAAGGACATCTGAGCATCATTCTGTGAAGTGCCTACACCTGCAAATTCAGCAGGGACAAAGCACAAATGTCCAGCTCTGCAGGTAGCAGCACATTCTCCAGCCAGTGCCTGGGGACAGCCTGGGATATGAAGGGAAGACATCTGAAAGCACACTGGGTTGGGGGAGAATAAAGTGCATCTCCCTTGAGCTACCCTGTGCCACGTGTCCCAGCCCATTGCACTCTACTGGCTTTGGCCTGAGGTTTGGTATGAAGGTGTGCCTGCTTTCTGGGGAATGTCTGGTCCCTACAATGTGGCCATGAAGGGAAGATGGGGTGTGAAACAAAAACCAAAGGTCTGTCCTCAAACATAGAAACGCCCTGGGGGAAGGGCCTGTCAACTGCCCAAAGTCAATAACATTTGGACATCCAAACACTCCAGGAAGACTCCTACAACACATGCTAGCATGTAGTTATTTTCCTATGCTCTATTTTCTTCTAATCAGGTGAAATCACCATATTTCTCTGTTTCCTACTATGGCTGTGCCATCACTGAAGTTGGGATGGCCATGGGTGCTGGCCTCTGCCCAGGAGCTCAGGTGTATCTGTCAGCCAGCCTGAAGATTGATGGCAAGGGGGCATGTTTTGGAGCTGTGGCCATTGAGTGCTAGTGAGATAGGGACAAGTTTCCTTCACAGGCAGATTAGATGTGGACAGGGGAAATTCCTTTCACCTGATCAGCATATTTTTGCTTTTGCTGAAAACACCCATTTATTTGCCTGGTGAACCATTCACTCACATTAGCTACATGTGATTTTCAACAGAAATACTATCAACTAACTGGTTTTCTGACTGCCCATTGATTGTCTGTCAAGTATTTCCATATGTAAAACTCTTTGATTGTGCCAATGATCAGTTAAAAATTGAAGCTACTTGTCTTTTTGTCTTGTTGTCTATTTGGTCTTCAGCGAGACACTTTGACACTGCTGCTCCCACAGCATCCTCTGGGAAAAGCTGGCAGCCCACATCTTGAACAGGAGCACTCTGCTGGGCTAGGAACTGGCTGGATGGCCAGGCCCAGAGAGTGAAGGTGAGTAGTGCTGCATCCAGCTGGGGACAGTCACCAGTGGTGTCCCCCAGGGGTCTGTGCTGGGGCCAGTTCTGTTCAATGTTGTTATTGATGACATGGATGAGGTGATTGAGTCTTCCATCAGTAAATTTGCAGACAACACTAAGCTGGGATCGTGTGTCGATCTGTTGGAGGGTAGGGTGGCTCTGCAGAGAGACCTGGAATGGTTGGATGGATGGGCAGGGTTCAATAAGATGAAGTTTAAGAAGCCCAAGTGCCGAGTCCTGCACTTTGGCCACAATAACCCCTGCAGTGTTAGGCTGGGGACGGTGTGGCTGGGCAGTGCCCAGACAGAAAGGGACCTGGGGGTGGTGGTGACAGCAGCTGAGCATGGGCCAGCAGTGTTCCCTGGTGGCCCAGAAAGCCAAGGGTGTCCTGACCTGTATCAGGAATGGTGTGGCCAGCAGGAGCAGGGAGGTCATTCTCCCCCTGTACTTGGCACTGGTGAGGGCACACCTCGAGTGCTGTGCCCAGCTCTGGGCCCTCAGTTTGGGAAGGATGTTGAGACGCTGGAGCGCATCCAGAGGAGGCAACGAGGCTGGTGAGGGGCTTGGAACACAGACCCTGTGAGGAATGGCTGAGGGAGCTGGGGGTGTTTAGCCTGGAGAAAAGGAGACTCAGGGATGACTTTATCACTCCCTACAACTTCCTGAAGGGTAGCTGTAGACAGGTGAGGGTTGGTCTCTTTCTCCAGGCAGCAACTGACAGAACCAGAGGACACAGCCTTAAGCTGCACGTAGGGAAATACAGGCTGGATACATGGAAAACGTTTTGTATTGAAAGAGTGATAAAGTACTGGAATGGCCTACCTGGGGAAATGGTGGAGTCACCATCCCTGGATGTGTTTAAAAAGAGACTGGATGTGGCACTGAGTGCCATGGTTTAGTTGAGGTGTTAGGGCTGGACTCAATGATCTTGAAGGTCTCTTCCAGCCTAGTCATTCTGTGAATTCTGTGTCTTGATGTTACATTCTATTCCTCCTAGACTCTACTTTTTAAAAGATCTCAAATGCTGCAAAACAAGAATTGTACATTTTTAGAGAATGCTGAGAGGATGATCCATGCTGACAGGCATTCACTCGCTATCTGCCACAGGTAGCCCAGCATTAAGTGCTTCAGGGCACTGAAAGGATTTGATCTAATCTTATATTATAAGAAGCACACAACATTGTACATTCTCTTCTTCAACACAGACACTTATGTACAGCCTAAGGGCCCAATCCTGCTCCTCTTGAAATCAGTTGGAGTTTTTGCCTTTGCTTCAGCAGCAGAGAGGGAAGGAGCAACTTTTGTAAGGGTGTTATGGTGGCTGGTCCTTCAGTCTTTCCATCTTAATCACTGTTTAATGGGAGAAGGCAGACACAACAGTGCTGGAAACACTACCTGTGTAATTAGAGCAACCTACCTTCCAGCTTTTTTTTGTCAGTTTACTTCTCTTCCATTGCTCTTCCTTGCTAAAAAACTGAAATTCATGCATTGACTGGTAATCTGGATTAAGGCAAGGAGATGTCCTTTCAGCAGAGACAGAGCTGTGTGAACATCAAAAGGTTCAGGATTCTTCTGTAATCAAAACAAACTCATTAACTGCATTAGAAGGACAAGTACACAGAATGCAAATACTCTCAATAACTAAACACTTCTTGTAAGCAGCTGATGAATTGTGCTTATTGAAACAAAGCCTGAATACAGAAGCCAGTGACTAAGACTTAAGAATGCTTTTCATTTTCTTTCCCATCTTGTTAGCCAGTAAAATGCATTTATTGTATCCTATCATAGCTATTCATTGTAGCACATCAGACTTTAAACCAAGAAGATATGTTACAGATACTGTGCAGAGCTGCATAACTGGGAAACTTGAGGTCTTAGCTGCATGCAGGTTTTCTCTGCCTGATATTTGCTAATGGAAATGTTGGAGCAGTCATACGACAAACCCAGGGACTGATCTTGCAATGTTCATGCTGGTGATCCTTTCTCTTGCAAATAACACAAGTCCTTAGAAACTGGTTTCTAGCAACTTACAAGAAGCACTCATCTTTTTCTATTGCCTGGAACTATGGGACTGGGGTCAAAAATGTGCAATTAAAAGGAAATATTGACTAAATTTAAAGACTGCATCAAATACTTTTAATAACTTCAAACACAGAGATAGAAACATGTATAAGGTTGAATAAAAACATCCAAAAAGTCTGATTTCATATCACATTATCCATTCCTGGCTGGCTGTAACCAGCAGAGCCTGATCCAGCTAGGTCTTATTCATGTAGGTAATCCCTTTGACCCTAGTCATAAATACATTATTCTAGTTCAAGATAATCTCCAAGTATCAATCTGAACTGATGTCTGTGCTCTTGAACACAAATGCACATTTTCCATTTCTTCCATCTCAGAGCTATAATGCTAGGCAGGCTATCTTAACATAATATTTTTCTTTAAAACAAAATTTAAAAACCACAAGCGTATCCCACCAGAACTGACTTTTAAAAAGAAAAAATCCAGGTGGCTCAGTTTGGAAAGAAACTTTGGATTTGTTGTAGTTCTCTTTCCGTGTGCTTTTTTTCCCAAAGGCAGACATTCATACACATATAATTCCCTCTTCTTGTCACTGGGCTTCTGGGTCAGTGAACATTCCTTTGCTGTAGTGTTTTTCAGATGAAACTCCAAGAGAAACACTGTCCTCAATGATGGGTCGGATACAGAAGAGGAGGATGGGCAAATATTCTAAGATTGGCCTGGATTCTTGCCAGGAGCAGAAGAAAAGAGCCTTTGTGTTTGGACATCTGAAGGCCAGGCATAAACATGTTAGCCGATACTTAACACCCAAAGCCAGAGCCAGAACCGTTAGACACCCTGAATAATCCCTGCTAGGCCTCCTTTGGGTTTCAACTGCCCATTACAATGGGGCAGCCTCCTCCAATTACCAAATGTGTTTCTTCTAAAAACATCCTTACGGGAACTCCCAAAATAGCAGCGATTAAAAGCAAACAGCCTGTAATTCATTGACATATGCAAACCTTTTAATGTTTTGCAGGAGACAAGTTGCAACTTTTTGTACCTACAAGACTATTTATGCATTTTTAATAATTACCCTTGTATATTATGTGATACAATTCCTTTAGGCATTTAGTTAAGAGAAGCAACAGAATTCACATTCAAAAGAAACTGTTAGTTTTGCTGCAAGAAGCGCAGCTAATTTATGTAGTGAATTTTTTATACATTTTTCCCCTGATTTCTCTTCCCTGCTGTCCTCTTTCCCCTTTCTTCTTCACTGCATTAAGAAATTCTGATGTGCCTGCAGCAACATCCACTGGTGGGGAGTGTCTGCAGTGATGCCAGCCCTGACTTCCCAGCAGTGGAAGGCAGCAATGTGTGCTGCTTCAGCAGGACGCGCTCCCTGCTAGGCTCCCTGGGGAATGGCCCCACGCTGGGGTCCTCTCTGATCCTACACCTTCTGCTCCCGTGTCACCCGACAGACAGCGATCCCCATCCCGTCTGTTCTGCCCTAAAACAGCACGAGGAAATCTTTCCTGCAGATTGCTTTCATAACCAATGTGGTCCTGCAAGCTCTGACTTTTATTCGAGCTCAGATCCCCATGTTGCCACCCAACGCCTCAGCTCTAGCTTGGGATGAGCTGATCCAATGCCAGGCAGGGAAATCCAGGCACGGGGCTGGGCATGGCACGTCTGCAGCTCCCACCACCAGCACGGGCACACACAGGTTTGGGAAAGCAGTGGCTGGACTGACAGCACAACTCATCAAAGGTTCTCGCAACAGGCAGTGCTTTACCTCTGCCTCAGGGGTAAAATGTAAAGAGGTCCTTTCCTTCTTACCGATGGCAGAGGACCAGATCCCTGGCTGTATTCCTGCACTGATTTCATCCATTTATACCTGCTGAAAACCTGGTCCTCCCTCTCTTCTTATGACAACAACCAAAGAAAACCAGGTCAAATACTTTTGTGTTACTGTGGTTTGACAATATATTTGAGAGGGGATTTTCAAGTCAGCCATTGCAGATACTACACTTAAGGGAAATGCAAATAAAACCTATTTCTTAGGTCACAGTTATAGCACAACAACATTTCTCTTGACTTCAGAAGGCAGTTTGTCAAATCAAGGGCTTCATCTTCCCATTGTAAATTAGCAGTGGATAATTAGGAACTGCCCACAATTATATATTGATGTTAAAAATAAGTAAATCCCAGCACATCCCTGTTTAGACAGTAAGAAGGTTTTGCATCGAAAAAACACAGGACACATGAGAATGTGAATAGTAAAGAGCTCATAACAAAGAAGGATAAACTCTTCATTGTGTGCTTACAGCACTCATTTCTTTCTCTGTAACTGAGAACCTATACAAACAAATGGGATAAAAAGACAACATATACTGTGATATCAGCTGTAACCTGCCAGTTCTTCAGCCAAACCTACTGGAACACAAAGGAAAGGGGCAAGGTTTGCACAAGGTGCACACTGAGTCAGCTTTTGTCTCAACAAAACTTCTCCTCAGCTCCTATAGCTGCAGCAGGGCAAGTCTAGATAGGAGTAACAAAACCACTTGCCCAGCTCTAGCAGTATTTCAGCCCAGCTCTTTGCTCATCCTTGGAGTTCACTTGAGACTGTGACACGCTGTAGGTGAATCCTTTTGTGGCTACACTAGGAGCAGTTTTAAGCCCTGCATCATCAAAATTCCAGGGCACCCTGCTGCATGAGGGGCATGGATCTTTTGGCTGCAGAGCACAAGGTAGTTTCGGTATCTGAAGAAAAAAAAAATTAAGCAAGAAATATCTAAGCCTATCTCCAGTGCACAAGGCAGGACTTGGGCCACTATATAATCTGGAGTGGAGCCCCTGAGTCTGTGCCACAGAGGGTGTTTGTGCTCACTGGTATGTGCCCACAGCCTGCTTGCAGCCGTAGCAGGGGTGGGGCAGTCAGGTGGCTGGAAATCCTCTACAAATGTGCACATGCTCCAAAACCCTCCTTAGGAAGTATTCTAGGTAGGGGAAGACAATCAGCCACGGAGAACCATCTTTGTATGGCCTTCTATTCTGTGTGCAAATCCTCTCCTAGATTTAGGTACCTCATCTGGGCCTTCCTACCTCCAAAAATTACCAAAGAATTCCTCAGCCAGCTCTAGATCAATCTCACAGGAGAGCAGGGGAAAACCCTGGTTCCATTGTAGCTGAACATATAGAGCTACTGGATTGAAGAAAGAACTTTTTTCCCTGTTTTCCATCTTGATCCCTTCCTGTGACTTTACAGGCCAGGAGTAGGGGAATGGAAATGTAACATTGTTTCAGTGCATCACAGTCACAGTGTTTGTGGCAAAGTTTTGTTTTGAGAATAAAAAAGACTTCATGCCAAAATAACAGCAGCAATTCATGTAACAGTAACAATTTAGAGCAAAGGGCAAGATCATACCTGTTTCTGGCTCTGACACTTCAGGCATCATATATTGACAGGAGAAATTGTGAGAGAATTACTGAACTAACATTACTTTCATTCACTTTGTGGGCCAAAATCATTGTCTCAAATCCTTCTGAAACACCCAGATGCTCAGGGTACTTTGCAGTACTTTCATCTCATTCCAGGTGGATTTTCTACCACCAGGGAGAAGCCAGACAGGCTTGTCTCAATTAGTGATGCTGGTGTCAGCCTGGTGAGCCTGATGAATTTGCTTTGGTTAATGGACCAGCCTTACTTATGGCACCATCCCACCCACCCAAGTGTCACATTCCTCCAGAAGCCCTTAGAAATCAGTCACACAGCAGCTAAATGGAATAGTGGACATTCATTTGGGATGGCAGCTTTCCTGCACAATTCCAGACCTATAAGGAGGTAATTATTCACTGCTTTTTCTCTGTGACAAAACTATTTAGAAGGGATTGCAATCTGATGAACACAACTGAGGGAGGAGTGCCCTCCTTTAATTCCCCAGCAAAATGGAGTCACCACCCAGCATCATTCTAAGCCTCCTTATTTCTCATTAACCTTAGCATTTCCTTTCTTGCCCCTCAAAAAGCACAATTATGTAGACTGGCAGTATCTCTCCTGCCCTGATGCCTGACTACAGTATATACCTTTTCTTTTGACCCTCTCTCTTGAGCTAGATTTAAGCCTTTGGTAAGGCTTCATGCAGACACCTCTGTAAGAAAAGCAGGACCATTTAGGAGACAGGCAGGAGAGTTATCAAATAAACTTTCTGTTTTATTTACAGTTCAGGAGCCTTGCAGAACGACACGCACTTATGGTTTGGGATCACTAGCAATTATTGTAAAGGTGAAAGCAGATACTGCAAATTTAACAAGCCTTTTGTATGAACTAATTGCATTAGAATACATTAGTAAGGGTGCACATTGTAGGTTTTATGTTTCATTGGAAAGGTCATCCTAGATTCTGGTTGAATAGTGAAAGAGAGGAAACCATATTAGCAGTTTATCCAGCAAGTGTCTCTAGGATGAATTTCCTTCAGGTCATTTGCATTATTTGATTGTAGCTGAATAGTTCTCCCTCTGCCAAGCAAGTAGGGGAAGACCTGCGGTGACAATAGGGGAAGTTCAAAGTCTTTGAGCCTTATTAGAAGGCTCATTTTCTGCACACATTTTCATGCACTCATTTCCCAGAACTAGGCTAGCAGCTGTATAATCAGGACAGCAACTTTACATGCCTCCTGTAAAATACAAACCTCCCAGGGAAAGCTGCTGTTGGTTTTCAGGAGGCAAGAGTGTTCCTGCTTCTTCAGAGGTGTGATACCCTGTTATGCCACACCACATAGCCCACCTTGCTGGCCCCTCTGCAGATGATTTGTGCCAGTTCTATCCCTGCTTCAGCTGCCCTGGGTGTCTCTAAAATACTGTGTTGGAGACAGTCACTAGACCTGGCTGCCCCCAGGGCTCTAGTGGCTTTGCAATCCTAGGGGTGGTGGCAGTCCTGAAGAGGTTGCAGAGGGCAGAGTGGTAGCAACAGAGCCAATGTCTGGGGAAGAGAGAGGGAAAGAGCTGCCCACAGGATCCTGAAGGAAGTTGCGGGGTGGAGAAGCTGAGCCAAGTAAGGCACAAAGTTTTTGTTCAAAAAGAAAACTCCTCTTCCCAATCAAGCAGAATTTCTGGGAAACCATAGTCCAGTGCTGCCTCATCACATTGCTGGCAGGGGACTAAGTGACAGCTAGAGAAGGGCAGAGATTGTGTCCATCCAGACATCGTTAAACTGACAGTATAAAATCTTCTGGTTACTCCATGAATACCCATCAGGATTTCCAGAGGAGTAGCTAGTGCCCACTAGTTTTACTGAGCTGTGTATTTCAACCAATCCTCCAGAAAACCTTACTGTGTAAAAATCAGGAGGTGGCATTCCACTAGGCTAAATAGTGCCAGTAGACTTAGAAGAGAAGTTAAATTGATGCTAAAATTTGTTCCCACCCTCCCCAAACCCCTCTCTATTGTGTAAGTGGCAAAGAAAACACAGCACCCTCTAGGAGTCTGTAGTGGCATTTACGCTGTCGCCAGCCACCTTTGCTCTGAAAGGAGGTGGCTTCTGCCCATCTGCCACTCTCAGAAGATGTAAAAGAGAGGAGCATATGGTTTTGAGAAAATGAAAGGTCTTGGTATCTCAGCTTGGTAAAGCTATTGACTTACTGTCTGACCTCTGGCAAGATGCATGCCCTCCATCTGCCCGGCTCAGGCTGGTGAGACAAGCAGAAGAGACTCGAGTGCAGAGATGCTGAGTTTGAGTTTAGCTTGTCAGAGCCACAGCAGCTGGTCACCCTTTGATGCTGACAAGCTACATTAAGGCCCATTTCAGCCAGCTCATAGAAGCTGGGTCTTCTCACCCCACAAATTCAAACTGGCTCTGAGGCTCCCAACAACTTCCCAAGCACAGGAGAACAAGGGGTGTAAAAATATGCATAGTATGACTGCTGCAAGAGTGAGCTGGGACACCCTGGGCCCCATTGCTCCTCTTCCCTCAGCTCCATGGCCCATTCTCCAGCTGCTACAGCCCCACAGGCTCCCCACATCTGCTAGGACTGCACACTCACTCCTCGCCTATAGCACCTTTTTACAAATGCTATCACTCAATCACAGCCAAAGGAGCGAATCAATCCACTCTGCATTGAACATCACCTCTGGCAAGGTTAAAACTTCAGATCAGCAAAGCCCTTGTGCATTTGGCCATGGGGACTCATCCTGTGCTGCAGCACATTGTGTAGGAGAGCTCTGATTGTGCAGAGGATGACTAAGCCCCATCAGAAACCAGAGGCACCTCAGCCTTACAGAACTGAGACAGCAAAACCTTAACATGGGGATAGCAAATATTGTCCATCCTTCATTAAAGCTGCATAGCAGCCCAAACAATAATTTTTACATACTCCACATTAAAAACATAATACTTGACATTTTAGTGTCTCATAATTTGGATATTGATTTCCAGGGAGGATATTTGATGGAGTGTGTGCCATAGCTCTTGTACGTATGTACTATAGCCAAAGGACATGACAATCTACCATAACATCAGGTAAGTCCTAATAATAGCCATATTTTAAGGCTCATTTAAAATATTTAAAGATACAACCTGAAATTAAAATAGAGCGTGAAATGTCCGTCTGTATTAATATTATCATCAACCATCACCAAAGTCAAAGGCTTGGGTTTACATCACTCCTACAGTCCCATTGACAACTTTATCCTGACAAACACACCCAGGACCTCTATTTTCTTCTTCTTGGCCTACTTTGTCATTTATTTTCATAGGGAACTAAAAGCTGCAAGTTCTAGAGGAGGGGTGAAGGCTTCAATATCCCATCAGCTCCCATCAGCACAAATACCCTGAAGCGGTTTCTGATCCCTTCTTGGTGCCACTGAAACAGGCCTGACAAACCCCTTTATTCAGCCACCCAGCACTTTTTTCTCTCCCATCCTACACTAATGCAAACATGCTTTCACTGTCCTCTAAGTTTCTTGATGAATTAATAGCCATGAAACCTACATCTTAAAAAATATTTTTAAGAACCCTCCCCCAACATGACTGGTGCCTGCCACCACTGTCACCCCCTTGTTTACTTCACCCCTCTTAGATCCTGGTGTTTCTCTCCAATTCGGATAAATGGGAAGGGACAGTGTTCCTGAATGCTATGAATATGGTGGGGATGAGGAAAAAAGGATTCATACTGGTGGTATATGGGCTAAATATTCATTATATCAATGTCTTTACGCAGTAACAAAGTAAATATAAAATTTTGAACAATGTGTATTGAAAGGTCATGAAAATACATTGAAATACATCAAATCAATAACAAGAATTTCAAACTACTCTCAGAAAACACTAAATAGCTACATATAAGAATGATAAGCATTGAAAAGAGCTCCATATAAAATCATTTCTCACTTCAGTACCCTCTCATGGTCTGATGGAATAATCTTTCTGCTCTGGAAGAAAAACATTTGTTTGTAATATCAGTCTAATACTATTAATTATATTGATTTGTGTTTGACTATAGACTGGTGGGGTTTTCAAAGCTTTAGCATTACACAGCTTATGAAAAACCTCTCACAGGAGCTTTGGCCTGGACAAGGTGCATAGCAGGGTCCCCCAAGTGGTGCATATTTTGCTGGATTATGTTTAACCAAGTCATGTAATAATTACTATAGATTAAACTGTCTTGAGTTATTGAAATAATTTTATGAATACAGAAAAATCTTGAGCCTGTTTCCTTGAACTATTCTACAATTCCATTTCTCCTACTATTCTCATATTCTTCATGTGAATAAATACAGTATTCTTGGTAAACACAAGCACCTGGAACATGCTTGCACAGGACACTTCCAAAGACAGTACATAATAATTGTGTTACAATCATAACCCTAACTCTAACTCTTATATAAAGGAAAATTCTGTATGGGGTTTCTGTTTGCCAAACCTCTCTTATTTTTCCAAAGCTTCCTACAGTATCATTACAACAAATTTGTTTCTTGGGAAGATCCCTTAGCCTCATGCTCCAATAATGTATGACCCCAAGGACTGGACACATTATGCAGGGCTCTGCAAATGTACATTACTTTTTACTTCAAAATTCATAAATAAAAAAGATAATCTTGTATACACCTGCTTCTCTGAAGTGTTTACAGTCTTGTTTTTTATTAAAAAACCAATAATATTAAAATTCCTGAAAATAAAAAAAATATTCCTTAAAGTTCTAGAAGATTAACAAAATAGAAACACTATTTAAGGTGATGAATCATGTAAGGTAATCACTAAACTCTCAGACTGTAAAATAGGATTACACACCATTTCTTCTTTTTTTTTTTTTTTAATTTTATCTCTTGGACACTGCAGTATCAACTGCTGTAGTCCTAAATTTAGCCAAACACTGCAATTATCAGATGTATTCAGTTGCAAAAGCTTTTGTCACTTTCGTGGTTGTCTAACGGTGTACAGTTCAATCATAAAAGGGCAAATGACAGGCGGGTGTAAGAAATGAATTTTCTTCTTCTTCCTGACATACCAAGGGAAGGCCCCCTGCTGTAATATGGAAAATCTTTTATGCAAAAGAGCACAGCAACTTACAGCACACAATCACTATGCAGACTTTTGTTGGAGCATTTTTTCATAATTCAGCAAAGGAAAAGGAAGAAAAGGCAGCCTTAAAATCAAGTTTAAAAGTTCAAATTTTATTTTAGCATTAAGGTTTAGGGATCTCATAATTAATATGCAACGAAGGTCCTTCTAAGTATGAGCATGCTTTCTTTGAGCAATGTTACTTTTCTGGTGATCTCAAGGCCACAGCAGCAGAGTTTTTCACACACAGCTGGAGCAAGGTGAGAGGCAGAGAGGGATGCTGAGTCCAGTGGGAAGCAGTCAGGGCAACCCCATGTTGTCTACTTGGAAAACAAAGAGAAGGCTGCATATTTAGTATTTATACTGGAGTTTCTGAGTGTGATGCAAACAAGAATCTGGGAAAACACAGAAAAATATCCTTCCTGCAGGTTTTAAGTAAAACTACCTTTGGAATAAATAATCTCTACTCCTTTCCACAGAAGGGACTTTAACACACTCTGGCAATAAACAAAAATATTAAAGAGGGGGCAAATTTAGTATTTGTCATTTTAAGGTCCTGGTGTGTAGTAGTATTATGGCAAATAAGCCTCACTCAGATTATCCACAGTGTTTCCAAATGAAAACAGGTATGGCATAAAGGCTTATTATTTTCTAAAAATACACTTTGGCTCATGATCACTGCTCAGCTATATGAACCACAGGTGCCAACTCTGAAGAAAGAAAAAAGCCTGCTCCTTACTCAGAGGCTGGCTGTGGATGCCATGGCAAATATTCTGGGGTTTCTCGAGTCAGTGTTTCTTCAGCTGAAGGGAAACTGGCCAAACCTCGGGCACGGCAGTGCCTCCTGGGCTGGCCTTGCAGACTGTGCTCGCTCAAGGAGCTTCACAGGCTCCTGTCCTGGTCAGGGCGCAGACCCTGCAAAGAGAGGCAATGCAGAGGGAAGCAGAGGTTTTACATCCCCAAACTACACTTCCCATCAGGCATTGGCACAGTATTTCCAGATCAAATGTGGGGTCACTTTTAGCTGAATTTTTTCAGTCTTAACAAAAATAATACCTTTTTTTTTTTCAAGATATCTATTTACTTGACTATTTTTTTTTTCCAGGAAAAGCTAATGCTTTGCTTCTAAAAATCTTTTTTTAGTTAAGAACCCATATTTCTAATGAAAACAGTCTCAATGAATAATCCCTCTTGAAATACAGAAAACTGAACAAACAACAACAGCAAGACATATTAGGAAGGAATATTTAGTTTCTTAGGAAAAAAAGTAGCCCTTACAGCAGAACTGGTCCCAGTGAGAGCAAATCAGCTACTGATTTCAATGAACTTGTGTCAGCCTACCCCAGGTGAAGTTCTGGCCCACTGAGCTCAGAGAAACAAAATGTCAGCTTTACTTTCTAAACACTCTTTCTCAAATCATATTCCCCTTGTAATAATGTGCAGTGAGTGTTTAGCTCAACATGCCTCTTATAGTTTCTGTTTGGAAGATGATTTTTCTTTTTAATTTCTCTGTCAGGCACACTTATTGAAGCGCACACGCTTTAGACAGATGCAATCTGCAAAAAAGGTTTGAGAGACAGTGATTTATTTATGAAATTCCTGGTTGAGAGGGTGAGGTAAGCCACACAAAAATTTTAAAGCTTCTCACTAACATAAGGCATATGTGTTATATATGTAAAACATGGGTAGGGAAAACGTTTAGAATATTTGGGCACAAATCCTTCACAGGGTAGAACTGCAGTGGGAGAAAAGGGGCAGCAGGTGGAGAAGAAGCCATAAGGACAAGTTCTTCTCTGCCTTAATTTCACCTTGTTACCTCAGGGCCAGCAGCATTTATCATATGGGCATTATACATACAGCAATTTTTTGTTCTTGTGTGTTTTATGCTGTGTAGTCAACACAGCAATCAACCCTGAAGCTCCATGGTGGGAGCTTCAATTTACTAAAAGCATAAATTCACTTAAAGTCCCTGCCCTAAAGTGTTTTGCTTCTAGCTAAACACTTCTCCATGACAAAGTCCTTTGCTCCAGCTGGGAGATGTTTTAACTTGCAGATGTCTTCCAACAAAGTGGGCACACCAGAGTCCAAGGTGCGCTCTGGGGACACAATTTTCTGGCTGTGCAAGTTCGACGGCTGCCAGTGCCAGTGTCCTGGGGTAAATGTGCTCTCCCTCCACAAGGTTGCTCTTCCTGGCACTGTGAAAGGTGGGAGGACTGGCAGACACACCCCAGCAATGCCACTCTGCAGCATCTTGAGAGGGATTTGTCCTAGTCTATCTCCTGCCGCTGAATGCCCCTGTGACAGAGCTGGCTGAAGAGGAGGTGAATCCTAAACCCTGAGGAGCCAGTGGGAGCTCGCTCCCTTCCCATGCCAAGCTATGGGAATCACCAGAGATGGTCCATACTCACTGGGGAAAAGTATTGAAGACACACATGTGGAGAGGAAAAGCACCTGTTTCATGCAGGTTGCAGCTAAAAGGTGGAACTAAGCAGCCTGAATTATAGGAGGGAGAATGATGTAGGGAAGAGCAGCAGGAACTAGGATTAGAGAAACTCCTCTGGAGGCTAGAGTTAGCCAGGGATATTTCCAAACATCTTTTAAAACACATCCAAAAAAAGAGATTTTTAGAGGGTTTAATGGTCCTAGCTGTAAGCAGGTGACAATTTTTGCAGGCTTTTCAGCTGAAATGGCACTGAGAATTGTGGATGTGAGGTGGTAGTGGCTGAACTACTGGCTCAGAAAGGACAGCCCCTGCACAGAGAAAGGACCATCAGACTGCTGACACTGGCAATCAGGAGCTGCTAGAGTAAGGCACAACAGTGATCAGGAAGGTATTGGAGCTGTGCTATATCTTACTCAGGACAGGACAGTTGCACTCGTTAAGGTGGAAAGTGGGGTTTTGGCAGAGAGATTCAAGGTGTGAGGTGAAAGGGAAAATGTGATGAGAAAAACCAGTGAGAATGATGATCCTGACAGAGATAAGCAGGTTACATGGCCAAAGGCACACTCTGCTCCACTGTGTCCATCTATGGAAAACAACATCAAACCCTGTGGGTACAACACAAAACCACCATCACACCGGGCACCAGTGCCAGGATAATGCAGAGCTGGCAGTGAAGAAATTGAGCAAAAAAAGATCCAAGGAACTGTCTAACAGTGGACAAGCTTTTGAGTCGCCCACCCCTACTCCAGTGGAGAGGAACAAAGTTCTTTCTGCCCCCCAAAGGGAAGAGCAGTGACTTAGGAGGCTGCCAGTAGCTCCCCACGTGTGAAAAGTGTTAGAAAAGGAATCCTCACCTGCAGTGTAAGAGCATTTGCTGGCAAGATAAGAGCTGAGGAAATTCAAGTCTCAGACTAGAAAAATCATATTTGTTCTGTCTTCTCTTTCTCCCTGAGGAGTGGGAGAGTTGGATGGAGGGAAAGGTGAGGAGATGCTGAGTGTTGAGAGTTTCTGTATGGATGTACAAAGGAAAAGAAGACATTAATCAAGGTGGGAGATGAGAAGAGTTTTTGTAGTGCCCACAGAATAAAACTGGAAAGGAAGATACAGCAAGCATTACAGAGGACCCCAAGGGGATGGAGCTGGCGGTGGAAAGGAGATGAGAGAAGAGGCACAGAGAAATACCAGATGTAAAAGATAACAACCCAGTAGAATTTTGCCAAGAATAAAGGCTTCTGAGCCATCACTTTGAATTTACATGTCCACCCTCTACTAGTAAAACCATTAGACAGACAAGAATTAAGAGGAGAGGAATCAGCCGCCTGCAAACAGCTTGCTGAAGACATGACATTCCTGAAGAAAAATGTACACAAGCCTAAGCAGCTTACAAGAGAGAGCTATCTCACCCGGCTCACCCCCCACGAACACTGTTAAATCCATGAGAATCAGAACAAGGAAATTGTCAGGGAAAGGCTGCGATTAGCCAGAGTCTTGACTAGAAAAATAGTTTATGAATTGTCATAAAAATTTAAAGCTCAACCTCACATTAGCTGCTGCAGTGTCTCTGCTCCCACCTACAGTACAGTTCGTCTCCCTCTGTCTTCATCACTGACTGTGCCAGTACAAGGGGGAAATCTTCTGAATGTTTCCCCAAAATTAAATGCTGAAACAGCATATCATTATTTTTGATATTCAAATCTATTATTAATAAGCTATACACTACAAAAAGATTCTGAACATGAGTGATACATCTCATAATTCTGACCTATTAACAGAAGTACATGAGTCTCTCTGGACCAAAAAATAGTTGTTAAAAAAGATAAATCGCTTACTCAAATCAAAATAAGATGACAGTTCCATGAAAGATTTCAAAATAAAAGTTAATAAGTTAATGGATTCATTTTACTGCTCCTAAGACACAGACAATGCAGAACAGTCATCTTCTTATTAAATAATATGAATCAACAACTCCATCATGTTTGTATTAAGCAACAGGCACCAGTACTCTCTTATGGTGTGTTAGGGTGAGCATGTCAGCAAGAGGGCAGAGCCAAAGCACTGAATCTTCTTTGTCCTCAGTGACCAGGTACTTAAAATTTTGTCATATACCTAAGCATTATCCTGAATGCAGGGACAGAAATTTTGCCACAGCTGATGCCAGCAAAACCTTCCCGATTTACAATTGCTCCTAATGCTCCCAGTTTGTGTGGGACTCACCTTAGCAGCTGTCCTTTAATCTGCCATGCAGCCGAGTGCTGGGACATCCCTGCGTCCCTTCTCCTAAACACCTCTCCCAGGAGAAAGAGTCCTCCCCTCCGAGAATACCCAGCAGTTTCTGATGGAGCCCAGGCAAGTGGCTTGAACCAGGCTGATGGTTTTTCAATAGTGAAAATGTGGAGAGAGGAATACCATGCTCAATGTGCACTAGAGGAAAATGTTTCTCGAATTTTAGATTTTAAAAAAGTAGGCTTTTTTCCAGTATGAGTAGAATAAAAATAAAATGGCATTTCCCTGATATAAAAATAATTCTTCTGGCTTCTTACAAGTGCTGTAGCCTAGAAGTATTCCTGAGGAGAGAGAAGATACTTGGAAAGAACATTGCTCTTAGGGAGTGTTGGAGCCCCATGGATATCCTGATTCTCCAGTCCCATGGATATCCTGTTCAGTTTTGGCTGCATTATGTGGGCTTGATAACCAAAGTCTTTATATGTACAGGAGTTACTTTAATAGGAATTAGAGGAAACAAAAAATCTTCCATTTGAAAGTGGATTGTATTGTACAGGCATAAGGGATTTCACTGCCTTATCAGAATATGGGAGGGTTTAAATGTAAGAAATGAGGTGGTGAAGGGATAGGAAACAAGTGACTTGTGGCTCCTGCCATTTAAGCATGAAAGGGGCATGTGAAGAGGCATTAATTTCAGCCACACTGGGCTGAAGGGCAAGGACTATTCTTCTAAACCCCAGCTGCTTAAACAAAAGTCTGAGGCACCTTTTTTCAAGAGTACCTAAGTCTGGTTTTCTAAAGGACCTTCCCCTCTTAAGTTACTTAGGCTATATCTACCCCTTCCATGCTGGAGAATGGGGGGCTGTGCCTGGGCTGCTGGGGGAGGAGGGGTGAGGGAGGCTGTCAGCGGATGGGGCTGTGGCTCAGCAGGAGCACGCCAGGCTGCTGGTGCAGGGCTGGATGCAGTGGCACGGGATGTACTGGGGCCTCTGTGCTACCCCACACTTTTCATTCCCACAGGCACTTTCAAAACTGCTACCTTAAGCATGCAGCAGGATTTCAGCAGAGGTCTCTTAGGCTTTAAGCAGCTTCTAACTGTATTTATGTGCTTTATCCCTTGAGTAGGATAAACAGGTTAGCAATTAACTCTGGTTTTCTGACCTCTAGCTGGATAACCAGATCTCTAATTATATTTTCAGTGGCAGTGAATCTCAAGAGCTGTGTGACACTATCTGAAAGTTTCCACTCC